GTTCCGAGTTTTTTCCTAATTTTTTTTTCAATTTCTTTCTTTTTTTAACCTAGACTATGTCTACTACGAGTTCTAAAAGAAAAACTTAATAATAAAAAAAACAATTTTATACAATTACACTTCAGAAAGTAGTTTCCCCACCCCACATTTATATTATGCATAGACCTCGATGCATGATCACAGAGAAAAATATTAAACAAGGGTGAGAAATACTCCCTGAGATCCTCTTGGTCCTAGCTAGCACATGATCCTCAATATTAAGGGTCGAGACGACCCCACACTTAAGCTCAAACATGCTCCTCAACTTCAACTTCGGGTACGTAGACTTCCCCTACCCTGCAAAACAAAAACAACACAAAACTTGACACTAAAAAAATAAAAAATAAAAAATAAATTAAATACAGGTTGGGTTGCCTCCCGACAAACGCCTTATTTATAGTCGTGGCACGACTTTGCTACTCTGCTCAGGCTGGGCGCTTTCTCTTCTTCTTTCTCCCATGAAGTCTAGCCTTTTTGCACACTCTCGGAAGGTCTCTTCTTTCATCTCTAGCTCTTTTCTCAATCATATTTACACACTCAGCTTGAAACACCACCTCCCCTAACTCAGTTGTCCCATCTGGATCACTACAATTCACATAAGGACTATGCTCTATCCCCTTCGATTCTACCACAGTAATCATGCACAAGTCCTCATAATGCTTAGGGAGCTTAAGTGCCTTGTCCACATTATAAGTGATTTCCTCATCGTCAACTCTCACCTTCAACTTTCCTTCCCTCATATCAATAATCGCTCCACCAGTAGCTAAGAATGGTCGCCCCGAAATAATGGGTACTTCCTCATCCGCCTCGTAATCAAGAACAATAAAATCAGCAGGAAGAATAAACTTTCCAACTCGAACTAACACATCCTCAATAATTCCTTCTGGCATAACTAGTGACCTATCTGCTAACTGTAAAGTGATTATAGTAGGTCTCAGCACCCCCAATCCGAGTTGCTTAAACAAAGAGGATGGCATCAAATTTATACTAGCCCTTAAATCACACAGGGCTATACCAACTTCTTGTTTTCTAAGAGATAGAGGAATTGTGAAACTCCCGGGATCCTTCAACTTAGGAGGAAGTTTACTCTAAACTCTAGCACTGCACTCTTCAGTAAGTGCAACTATTTCAAAATATGTATGTCTTCGCTTGTTTGCCACAATATCTCTGAGATACTTTGCATACTTAGGCACTTCCTGCAAAATTTCCACCAAAGGCAAATTCACACGCACTTGGCTCAAAATATCTAAGAATTTCTTATACTTAACATCATCTTTTTGCTTCTGCAGCCGTTGTGGAAACGGAGGTGTTGGCCTTGTCACAATTACTGGCTCTGATCCCTTGCTCTGTTTCTCATTCTCCTCAACTGGCTTGGGAACTAATCCTCCTTCAAGACTAGCCGTATACTTCATTTTCTTTGGAACTTCTTCTAATGCTCTTCCATTTCTCAAGGTAACCGCATTGACTTGAGCTTTAGGATTGGGCTCAGTATCACTAGGAAGAGCCCC